CAATTCGTTTTGACGAGGCTATGATATATTTCCACATAATGCATACATAATGCATTTTTGGTTAGATCGCTGATTAACCAAATTCGCCTTTATTAATATGGATATCTTTATCAGAAGTGAATAAAAATCATTCGATGAATATTTTGTTTTTAACTTTTTACACATAATCTAAACCCAAAGCAACATCACAGCCCATATAATTATTTGGACCAAACTAACCATTTCTACAATATTTGCCAAACAATAACTATAGACTAAACTAACCCTCTTGATTTCGTGCTGAATTTCCAGAGTATATGTCTGAAACTGGACATGAATTGCTTAAAAGACGGTCTTTTGCATCACTCTCGCTCCATTAAAACTGGTTTAACCTTGACAGTAGTCTCCTCGAACCAACTCGTTAATCTCTACTCCAGAAATGGCTTATTGCGGGATGCTCGGAACGTGTTCGACGAAATGCCTGATAGAAACGTTTACTCGTGGAACGCTGTGATCTCGGCCTATGTAAAGTTCAACAATTTGAAGGAAGCGCGTGAATTGTTCAAAAAGGTCGATTCTGAACGAGATTTGATCACGTATAACACTCTGCTTTCAGGGTTTGCCAAAACTGATGGGTGTGAGAGTGAAGCTGTTGAGATGTTTGGTGAGATGAATAGGAAAGAGGAAGATGGGATTTGGATAGATGAATTCACTGTCACTACTATGCTTAAACTTTCTGCGAAGCTATCGAATGTGTTTTATGGCGAACAGTTGCACGGAGTTATGGTGAAAACAGGGAATGATGCAACTAAGTTTGCTGTTAGTTCTCTCATTCACATGTATTCAAAATGTGGCAAGTGTAAGGAAGTTTGTAACGTCTTTAACGAATCGTGTGTTGAGATTGTTGATGGTGTGGCTAAGAACGCAATGATTGCAGCGTACTGTAGAGAAGGCGACATAGAGAGAGGTTTGAATATATTCTGGAGAAATCCGGAGCTGAATGATACAATCTCGTGGAATACAATGATTTCAGGATATGCGCAGAATGGATACGAAGAAGAAGCTTTGAAGATGGCTGTTAGTATGGAGGAAAGTGGGTTGAAATGGGACGAACACACTATCGCAGCTGTACTAAATGTTCTGAGTAGTTTAAAGAGCCTGAAGATTGGAAAGGAAGTACATGCCCGGGTATTGAAGAATGGATTGTGTTCTAATAAATTTATAAGCAGTGGAATTGTTGATGTTTACTGTAAGTGTGGGAATATGAAGTATGCGGAGTCTGCTCATTTGTTATATGGTTTTGGCAACTTGTATTCAAGTTCTTCAATGATTGTTGGTTACTTGTCTCAGGGAAAGATGGTGGAAGCGAGAAGGTTATTTGACTCTTTATCTGAAAAGAACCTAGTGGTCTGGACTGCTATGTTCATGGGATATCTCAGTTTACGGCAACCTGATTCTGTGTTTGAACTTGCACATGAATTTATAGACAAGGAGACAAAAATTCCTGATTCTTTGGTCATGGTTAGCATTCTTGGTGCATGCTCTTTACAGGCTTCTATGGGACCGGGGAAGGAGATTCACGGTCATAGCTTGAGAACAGGAATTTTAATGGATAAGAAGCTTGTCACTGCATTTGTTGACATGTATTCAAAATGCGGGAATGTTGAGTACGCTGAAAAGGTCTTTAACACTAGCTTCGAGAGAGATACAATTATGTACAGCGCTATGATAGGTGGTTGTGCTCATCACGGTCATGAAGCAAAAGCTTTCCAGCTCTTTGAAGACATGATTGAGGGTGGATTCAAGCCGGATGAAATCACGTTTATGGCGATCCTATCAGCTTGTTGTCACCGCGGCTTAGTTCTAGAGGGTGAGAAATACTTCAAGTCGATGATAGAGGTTTTTAACATATCCCCCAAGGTTGGTCACTATACCTGCATGATTGATTTGTATGGAAAGGCCAATAAGTTGGACAAAGCCAAAGAACTTATGGAAGGTATTGATCAAGTTGTAGAAGACGCTGTTATTCTTGGAGCGTTTTTAAATGCTTGTTACTGGAATAAGAATACAGAGCTTGTGAGAGAAGTGGAAGAGAAATTGTTAAGCATTGAAGGATATAACGGGTCTCGTTATATTCAACTAGCTAATGTTTATGCCTCGTCTGGTAAATGGGATGAGATGAGACGGGTACGGAATCTTATGAGAGGGAAGGAGCTGGATAAGTTCTCTGGGTGCAGCTGGGCATATATCAATAATCAAGTTCATATGTTTACTTCCTCTGATATTTCCCATTTCAACACAGTAGCTATATATTCCATGCTACATTTTGTGACCAAGGATTTGTCTGAAATTGCTGAAATCACGATTTAAGGTATTAGAGAATACTCACATGACCTAAGGTTGATGAGCTCTGTTTTTGTGCTTTAAGGGATTCGCCTGCCATTTTCGGTCAGCAATGTAGTTTTACTGATTCTATTTCACAGTTAGCTTTCTCAATGTTCTTATCATCACTGTTTTGAGTGTCAACTTTTTTGCTGATTTTGTAAATCTACTGAACATTCTATTATCTGCCTCTCTTGGAGGATCGCTCTTGTAAAGCTTTTGCATCAGCCAAAGACCCATAGTTCTTATCGTGTACATCAATATGAGTGTTATTGGTAAAAGTTGAAGAGGTGTATGCTGTTGTTCTAGATTCTGAAACAGAAACTCAAGTTTTCTTATCCAAAATGGTTGCTTTAAGCTTCCTCCATAGATGGAGGGGCCTCTCAACTAGTCGCAGCGACTGCGATCGTGAAAGAGCAATAATAGTATTACGACGATGACAAAAATAGTCGCCGGAGATGATCGCCGCTGTTGTCACCTTCGTTTCTTGTAGTCGCTGGAATTTCTAGCGGCACTTTCGGAGCAACACATTCACCGCAGCGACAACTCTCTTTATCAACATCAGCTCCGTAATCGTCGTTTTGCTTTTATTATTTGTTGAGGCCACCGTCGTTTCACTCTGTCGCAGTCGCAAACCCAGCGACATGTAAAAGAACAGGTCCAAGGTCATGTAAGTGCTGAAAGATTTTTTGTATTTATAGTCATCTCTCATTGTCTCTGTAACATCATGTGTTAGAGTTGGAGTGTACTGTTTACTACTTTACTGTATGTTCTTTTGCAATCACTTCTAACTAAAAACTTTTTATTTATTATTTTGAAGGAACCAAGCAACGTCAACACAAATTAGTTAGGACATGAACAACAGAAACAACATCAAACACAGATCAACACAGAACAACAGAAGCAACAGAAACAAGTACAAGAGAACCATGGAAACGAAAACATAAAGCGGAACCTTCCAAAAGAAAACCTGTCCTAGCAAGTTGCAGCAGGTAAACCACACTTCTCTGGGAGTTTCTCAGCGAGGTGGAAGTCGATCCCACTGACAAATGGACTGTCTTTATGCTCGCAGAGACAGTGGAAGTTGGCCTTGGACAGGGCAGTGCAGCAAGGTCCCTTGGGATCAATCGGGGTGGTCAGTGGGTTCTTAGTCTGCACATAGGGCTGGCAAGAGTACAGACCAGCAAAGGTCATACCGCAGAGGTTCTGTCCAGTTGCTGCCGTGAGTGTCAAGGCAAGAACCAAGGTAATAACGACAAGCTTAGTGTTTGGCTCCATGGCTTTGAGTACTTTGAGATAGTTTTTTCACCAAATGTTTTGCAACTATTGATGGGTTTTCTCTTCTCTACCTTAGGATAGGCTACGTTACATGCTTCATAAGGTTTATATAGAGAGGATAGGCAGGTTACTGGTGTGATTAGATCTACGAAATTATGATTTTAACATGAAAGCATGGGTCCCTAGCATCATATAAGACACAATCTTGTGATTAATCTCCTGTGCTTATTATTCAATAACCAATATTCATTTAAGAGAAAGTGT